CCTCTGTCTAGATTCAAACAAATCCAAATGAATGCATACAATTTTAAGATTTAACCAAAATTATTCACAGTGATTTGATGTATGATGGACAATTGTAAATATTATGTATATTAATATAGAAGTAGACACACAAGAAATAAGACATAATAATTATTTTTTATTCTTCAATCATCATGAATGTAAAAAAATAGGAATTTTTTTTTTTTTTTCAAAAGAAAGGAAACCGTTTGTTTATATTTATATAAGACTCTAGAACGTAGATATATCGTTTTTGAGTATTCAACTCTAAAAATAAAGATATAGTTGGTTTATATAGGACTCTTCATTACTTTTAGAAAAATAATACATTTGAGAGATAAAATTGGGATTTAAAAAAAAAAAAAGTAGAAAACATGACATAGTCTTGAGATAATTTTATTTCTACACACTTAATGAACACTTTCTCGATACACACATTATAAAAATATAAATTCTCAGTACACATCTCTAGATTCCAATATTACCCTCATTTCCAATTTTAAAACCCTAAGGCAATATTTGGTTTCAATTTTTTGAAATTTTTATGAGAAAAATATAAATTAATTTGACAAAAATAAATATCAAAAAAATATTTTTTAATGTTTTTGCCCCTAAAAAGATGAAACCATATTGAAATAAGAAATTTTTTTAATTTATTTTTGAAAACATATTCTAAAACTATACCAAACATAGTCTAATTTTTTTTTTCCCATTCATCCACTCATCTTTTACTGTCGTTGCTGCTACTTTCAACCCTCCATCGCTACCACCATCACCACTTCTAGCTCATTCCCCTCCATCCTAGACTTCCACAATCAACATTGAGTGATTCGTACTAAGAGACTTGTGAGAGTGTATGGTTCATGGCGGAAAGTGATCACAGGCGGATAAAAAAAGAGGCGACTGGAGGGGATGGCGGATGAGAGAGGTAGCGCTGGCAATAGAGAATGTTTTTGGCATTTTAGATATAGGGTTTGAGTAGAAGAAGATGAGGGTATTATGGTATTTTTATTTTAGGACAAAATTGTATTAATGAAAATTTTCTTTAAATGTGTGAATTGAGTAAAATTAGTGTGTAAAAATAGAATTAACCATGCTCTTTACACTTTCATAATAGTAATAAATAGTAGATATATTCTTAACCTCTGAGGCGAAAGGTTAGAGGAGAATCAAAGAGATTGAGAATTGGAAGAGACGCGGAGGGAGGAGACGCAGAGGTTTTAGAGAGAGAATCACAATATAGAGAATAGGTTTATATTGTACAGATAAGAAACAAACTGGCTATTAATTTTTTGGAAAGCTTGTCCTTATAGACTTTCTAATGTCTTTACAGACCTAATAATTTAGCGCCTGAGCTTTTAGACAACAAATTCATAATTAGATTACTGGGTTGAGCGCTCTTATTATTGTCATATTATTTTTTGAAATAATTTGCCAAATGGGGCGTTTTGTAATTTCTAGAAAAAATTGAAAACAAAGCCGGAGCATCTCAACACATATATATTTAATCTAGCAAAAATATATTTTAAAAAGACATTTTATAAAATAAAAGGTCATTTATGTTTTTTTTCATGATCTACAACGCTACTCTCTATGCTGACTCCAAACTAACTTAACATCATATATTCTTTTGCACGACACGTTAGAAATTGAGAGAAACACAATAACAGCTTCTTGGAATTTTATTTTTTTTTTTTATTTTTTTTTTCAAGAATAAAATGTTAGTTTGTTAATAAAATTAAGTTATAATTTAAACGGACCACCGTTGACCCATCAACTTAAATTCCAGACTTTTCACTCACCGCACGGTAAGACACGACTACATATACCACTCAACCATAAGGGCATAGCCTAATTTCTTGGAATTTGGAAAGTATGAAACCTCATTTAGAGAGCCTACTGGAATTGCTCTAATGCAATCATGATAAGATCCAATTACAACCCACACTAACCTGCTAAAACTAGCAGTCGTAAATTGATTTCAACAAAACTTTTGAATGGATTGACAGTTTTTTCTTTTTATTTTTTTTTCACGTGGTTAATAAGTTAGTAATTAGATTATAATTAGATATTGTCATCATTTAAAAATTACTCACTTATTAATATATTTGTAAACTATTATAAAAGTAAAAACGTTACGTTGTGATTAAAGTCAAAAGTCTAAATCTAATTTTTTAATAATTTTGAATTTTTCAAATATAATAATACATCAGTCTCGCTACATTTCTTAATTGAGACTCTCCTAATTCTACCCCCAATGACTTAGCTAAGAAAAGTCTCATGCTCCTCCCTCTCTCATCTTTACCTCCCTAATTCCACGCCATTAAGGATAAAATTGAGGAGGCTAAATTAAAGGAATCAATCATTTTTTATAATCCATATGTCATGTTATATATTGGTCTTCCTATCTTACTATTATTTCCTCCCAAATTTAAGAAATATATACTCTAAATATGGCAAACTTTTCAAATTTTAAAATTGTCTTCAATTAAGATCCTTTCAAATTGATTATATTTTCTTATTCTTAAATAGAGAAAGGAGAACATCATACAATTTTACTATTTATTTACGGTGCAAAGAGATTATTATTATTATTATTATTATTATTATTATTATTATTATTATTATTATTATTTAAATCTGTTATTGCAAATACCTTTTTTGGGTCAAGACTTTTATTTCAAATACACATTTTACAAAATTATAAATTCTTTTCAGTATTTTTTTGTTTTCAAATTTGCTGCATTCTGCATTGATTATTGGAATATTAATTTTTGACATGACTATATTGTATTATTAAAATATATTGCGAACAAAAGTAAGTTAGATTTTAAATTTTTGGATTACATTACACTAGAGATAACATTTTCTATAGCCTAAAAATAAATTCTTTTCAGTATTGTTAGCCTATAAACCTCGATAAAACTAAGTTGATCACATTTCTTATTCTTTTATTTTTAATGAAACAATGGTTAATTTATTATTATTTTTTTTTATAATTTGATTAAAATGATTATTCATGATACATCAAATTGAATTTACAATGAGAAAGAAATTGGCCCACGGTAATGGAATCAAACCTAAACATAAATTTAATCTTATGATACATTATATTCAATCAATCATTTTAAGTATATAAATGTAATAAAATGATTATTCATGATACATCAAATTGAATTTACAATGAGAAAGAAATTGACCCACAGTGATGGAATCAAACCTAAACATAAATTTAATCTTATGATACATTATATTCAATCAATCATTTTAAGTATATAAATGTAATAGGTCTAACTTAGGCAAATATAATGACACAAATTTTGTGCTGGCTCAATCAAACTAAGAACATTCATTCATTCCTTAATTGCACTGGCCAAAAAAATTGAATGATAATTTTTTTGATTAAAATGTAAATCATAATTAAACTTATAGCATGTTTGATGAATCTAAAATTAAAATACTAGATTATTTTTTTTTAAAAGTAAATTGATTTCAAAGTAAAAAATTAGGTAAACTTATTCATTAATTCTAAGATTAAATGTAAAAAAAAATCACATTGCAAATATCATTTAAGAGTCCAAAGAGAGGGTGAAAAACATTTACCTTCACCATATCACAAAAATTTATACTCCCATATATATTACATGATAGATTTTGTATGTTAATTCCTATACATTTGATAAGTCCAACAATTTAAAAGGATCTATTAAGTTTTATTATCTAATATACAAAGCATTTTTGTTTATTATAAAGTTTTTAGAATCTCAACCTCAATCATAATAGATGATTGGAGATTCAGTTAAGAACACACATAGTTTTGAAAGGAAAAAATATGCTAGATAAGACAAAATTGGGTACACACAAGTGCACAAAGGGTGCACTTGGTAGCTCAGATTCATCACAGATGTGACGTGAGTGAAACTAAAAATAAATCAATAGAGAGATGTTGGTCAGATTCATCACAGAGTGACGTAAGTGAAACTTAAAATAAATAAATACAGAGATGTTGGTCGAGTTGAGAAAACTTTAGTACCCAGAAGAAGATGAAGCAAATGCAAGCAAGTCCTTGCAATTTTCAAAGTTTGGGCATGTAATGTAATGTCATCTTCTCATATTAATCCACACCTGTGTATGCAATCATCACCTAATCTGGTGGCGAGCAAACTAACCAAATTTTTGTAAGGCCATGTTGTGTAGACAACCACCCTGCCCTCACACATTTTAGGTGCACAAGTCCTGAATCTGAGTAGTAGAAATAAACTAGAGGTACAAAATGCCAATGAATTATTTGATCGGCGCAGGTGCTGAGGTGTTAGACACAACACACATATGTATATTAAGACTTATCATGACACATGATAAATCACATAAGAAATGAAGAATTTGATGAAATAATCTGATGACATATAGCAGCAGCACTCAGGGGGGAAATAAATCTTTAAAAAAATAAAAATAAAATAAATAAATAAATTCAGCTCTCAATAATACCTAAGAATCAACACATAATTTGGGAGAAGGAAGAAGACCAATAAATGCCATTATTATGACAACAAGTCCTCAACTTCATAATTGAGATACAACCATGCCTGTATTTCATCTACTACCAACTTTTCAATGTACACAGCTGCTAAAAGCTGTGTAACCTAATATTTTGTGTACTTCCTTGATTTTGCATCAACATGGAATGAATAACTAACTCAAAAACCTAAAATTTTCCCAATTATAAACCCCACACCACTAAGAATCAACACATAATTTGGGAGAAGGAAGAAGACCAATAAATGCCATTATTATGACAACAAGTCCTCAACTTCACAATTGAGATACAACCATGCCTGTATTTCATCTACTACCAACTTTTCAACGTACACAGCTGCTAAAAGCTGTGTAACCTAATATTTTGTGTACTTCCTTGATTTTGCATCATGGAATGAATAACTAACTCAAAAACCTAAAATTTTCCCAATTATAAACCCCACACCAAAAAAAGAAAAAGTAGCCACTGATTTTATTTGTGACATTTCCAACTTTGAAGTCTGAAAGGTATGCTGCCATATTAAGGAGTTTCCAACTTCAACAAGCAACACGTACAGCGTGACATGCTTTATTAAAATATCATCTTGTTTGATACCAGTAGTAACAAACAGGAAAAAAGGACACAGCTCTTGACAGAGAGAATAAGAAAGCTAGTATGACAGCAAGGAATTTTCTCAACAGAAAGGCTCTCACCCCCTCCCGCTCCCCTTCCTCTTCCCTTCCCCTCTAAATGTCATTTTTCTCTCAATATGATACAAGCTTCTATCAACACCTTCCAAATAAGAAGTGGGTACCATTCTCCATTTGACTCAGTTCTCACCTAAGCTGATGGGAGGAACCATGTTTAAAGCCTTCATTATAAAAGCAAAGATGAAGGCATCTTCTTGGAGCTTCTCAAACCTGCACTCAACAAAAAGGTGAGTATTAATTAAAACAAGCATATATGTCAATAAATATCCTGGGATCTTTCCATTAAAAAGGCAAGAGTAAATTTGACACTTCACACCCTCAATCATGGAGTTCATTGTTAACATACTTGGTAGTGTGTTAGAAGGAGGCCATTACAAGTGTTGCTTGTGGTTTTGCAGGCAGGGGCTACGCAAAGCCCCCATCCAAAATAAATAAATAAATAAAATAAAAATTCTAATCCCTCTTTACCCTATACCAAAGTTAGTAAAATTCTAAAACACCCCCAAAACCTATCAGGCCATTTCATATTTCCATCATCTGAAACTCCTTCCTGACTACTATGGCCTACCTCTATTTACACCACAAAAAGATCTCACTCCACCCTTCATTTTTTTTAAATTAGAATTTCGTCCATATCCAAAATTACCATTAAGACTTAAAACCCTAAAAATTGAAAACACAAATTACTCACACCATCCATCCCTTCCCCACCACCTCCACCAATCCCTCCCACTGCCAGCCTCTTCTTCACCCAGACCCTCCCCACTCCCCTGCAAACAGCGACCCTCCTCCCCCGTCACCCCTTCCCCTACCCCTGCACACCACCCAACCCCTCCTCCGTATGAACCACGCCACCATGACCCCCACCTTATTCTCCTTCTTCTTCTTCAAACCTTAGATTTGAATATCTCTCTCTCTCTCTCTCTCCACCCAACCCCTCTCCCATATGAACCACATCACCATGACCCCCCACCTTATTCTTCTCCTTCTACTTCGAACCTTAGATTTGAATCTCTCTCTCTCTCTTGCACGACAAAGGGTTGTGGGGGTGGCGGTTGCAGGCATTGTTGTCAAGGGGGTGGTCATGGGGGTGAGGGAAGGGGTTCACATGGGTAGGAATAGGCATGGACATCGGCCCGTTGGCCCGCCCAGCCCTATTTTTCTAGGGCTTTATTTTAGCTTATAGGGCCGTGTTGGGCCAACATTTTTAGCACGAAATATTAAGGGAGACTCAAGTATAAGTCCTATTAAGTAAACTTATTATCCAATAGGTCCTATGATAATTAAAAACCTTTTTCATCATACACTATTAAAAAACGTCACTAATTGTTTATTTTCAGCGATACTTTGAAAATTGTCACAAATAATGTCACAAATTATAAGTTTTAGCGACAGTTTAAAAAAATCATCACAAAAAAATGTCACTAATTTTTAACTTTTAGCGACAATTTAAAAAATTCGTAACTAAAAAACATCACTAATTGTAAATTTTAGTGACAATTTATTAAAATCGTAAAAAAAAAATCACTGTCAATTTTTAGCGACTTTTGTAAAAAATCGTCACAAAAATTATTTTTAGCGACGATTGTAATAAAACTTATTTTCAATAGGACTTAATTTGAATTAAGTCCAACTATTAGGAACTATTGGTAATATACCCAAATATTAATGGGTTCGGTTTGGAATTTATACTTTCAACCCAACCCGGTCCAACCCGACCCATTATTAAATTAATTATTTATTTATTTATTTACAATACATTAAAATATATATTTTTTGTTGGAATCTACACTTTATCTTTATTGATTTTATTAAAACTCACATTTGTGGTAATGTGTGATTGAATTTATTTAAGAAATCCTTCAATTTATACACAAAATCTTTCAATTTATAATGATGTCAACAAATTTATTGTGATTAAATTTAATTATGAAATGTTTTAATTTTTCTTTTTTATATAACCTGATTGATGGACTTGGGATTTATAATTATTTTTTGGCCCGCGCTTGGGCAAATATAGAAACCCGATGTTAGGGCTAGGACGGGCTTAGGCAAACACAAAACCCCTTATGTAATTTTGACATTTATCCACTCCTAGGTAGGAGATTGCAGAGGTAGGGGCTAAGAAGGTGCTAAGTTGCAACAAGTGGGCGAAGGTGGAGGTGGTGGTGATTGTGGCTATTAGAGGTGGTGGTTAGATAGGAGGGTTGCAAATTAATCGAGTTGGTTGAGCTCGGCTTGTTTAAAACCAGTTTGCACTCGACTCGTTTACTAAATGATTGAGCTCAAACCCCATTTTTAGACTCATTTATTAATCAAGCCAAGCACGAGTAGCTCCGAGCTCGACTTGATAAGACTCGTGAACATAAAGAAAATAAATTAATATTTACTTTTAACAATATACCAAATAATTTTTTAATAATATATTTTATTTTTCTATTTGTGTTTGGTGTTTGTGTAAATTTAAATATTTGATTGATGACATTTATTATTAATATAAGCATTCTTGTATATTTTGCTTATAATTTTCTATTTTTTTTATCTTAATAAGTACATTAATTTAAGTTTTTTTTCTTTTCTTTTTTTGTCCAAAGCTTGGCTCGAGCCAAGCTCGAGTTTATCAAATATTTGATGAGTCAAGCTTGAGCTCGACTAATTCTTAAACTCAAGCTCGCCTCGGCCCATTTGCAGCCCTAGGCGGGAGTGGAGTTAGGGTTTGAAATGTTAAGGAGGTGTAAAGAGAAGATGAGTTGTTAGGGATGGGGATATATTGGGAATTATGTAATAAGATAGAAAAGAAAATTAAATATTGAAAGGTGGTGTTATTAGAAATGGGGTGCAATGAGCTAACTGTGGTGTAAATAGAATCACACAATGCTATTTAACCCCAAAAAAAACTCTTGCTTAAGATTGTCCATGACCATTCTAGATTTCCTTTTAAAGCTGAATAGCTACAACAGATTGGATCCTCCCTTGAAGTATTGAAACTTAAAATAAACATCTTGCTTGGATGCTTCTAACATAAGAATGAAATGAAATAAAATAGAATCTAGTAATTCTATACATCTTGAAAAAATTCGATACATTAAAGTTTAAAGAGTTACTTATTAAATCTTCTTTCTAGGGGGTATATTGAGAGGTTGTAGCTGTGAGAATACAATCATATATAGGCATGATTGTGTACATATTAGGGATGATTGTGTATATATATTAGGCATGATTGGGTATATATATATTAGGCATGATTGTGTATATATTAGGCATGGTTCTGTATTTCCTTTTTGGTTTAGGCATTAGGGTTATATAAACTACGGTCTTGATGTAATTGATACAAGTTGAATATACAGAAAACTTACATGGTATCAGAACAAGTTGAGAAACCCTAGCTCCATCGATCTCTCTCCTCTCAGACCTAGTTGTTGATCGAAGCTCTTTGTTTCATCTACCGTCAGTCGTAAGTCTTCTTCTTGGCTCTATCTGGTCCACAACTGTCTTTCTCTCAAACCTGGTTGTCGGTCGAAGCTCCTTGCGTCATCGATCATCGTGGTTCGTCGGGTCTGTGGCCTTTGACTTGATTGCAAGGGCTTTTCGTCTCTCTCTCTCTCTCTCTCTCTCTCTCTCGGTGTTCATATATTTCTCTCTCAGTCTCTCTCTCTCTGTTCATTTATTTGTTTTCAGTCTTTCTCTTCTTATTACTCTGTGGCCTATTAATTCTCTCTTTAATCTATCCCTACTCCATTATAATGACGGACGCCAAAATCCAAGCCATCAGATGTAAACTTACTGGTGCCAATTATGCTTATTAGGCTAATGTCATGAAGAATTTTCTTCTTGATCAGAAAAAATGAGGCTATGTTTCTAATTCTATTCCTCGTCCAAACAAGAAGGATATTTGACTACCTGTGACACTTGGGATTGTGATAATGTCCAAGTTTTGACCTGGTTTCATAATTCTGTGGATAACTGTATTGGAATGATGTTTTCCAAACACAGTACTGTTAAGGAGGTGTGGGACTATTTATTAGGTGTGTACCAGCAATCCAACTCTGCCAAACGGTATGAGTTGGAAACAGCTATTCAAAATGCTCGTCAACGGGATCAATCTATTCAGGACTTCTACATTGAAATGACAGGTCTCTGGGATCAATTGGCTCTCATGGAACCATCTAGCCTCAAGGCCCTAAACGCTTACGTTGAGTTTCGGGAGCAATGTCATTTAGTGCAGTTCTTAACGGCTCTCTCCCCTCAGTATGAGACTAGCCGTAGTGGCATCCTTCATCGGTCTCATCTCCCCTTTGTGGATGCTATTGTTCATGAGCTCCTCTCCAAGGAAACTCGTCTTAAGATGACCAGTCAGACTCTGTCTCCATCTGTTTTCTTGGCTCCTACTCAGCCTCCTCTATTATCGACCCAACCACCTCATTAGCTTCAGGGCAATGCGAAGCCCAAGAAGGGGCCACTAGCCTCTGATGAGTGTGTTTTTTGCCATCACAAGGGCCATTGGAAGTACAACTGTCCCAAGAAGGGACGTCAATCTGCTCAGTCTTCTTAGCCGCCTCAGACACAATTTTGACCTCCTGCTACTTATATTGCATCTGCTCCGCCGTCTGATCCTGACTTGACTTCCTTGCGTGCCCAGATGGCTTAACTTCAACATCTCCTGTCCACCTCCCAGCCATCCTCATCTACCTCTGCTCTCGCCTCTCTTCAGTCAGGTTTGTTTGGGTCCTCTTCAAGTATCTCCTCTTTTGTCTGACTTTTTGACTCTAATACCTCTCATCATATGACTCCTCACCTGTCCTTACTTCAAAACTGTCCCCCCCTTCTCCTCTTACTGTTAATACTGCTAATGGGTCTGGTATGCATGTTCTATCTGTTGGGTCTATCTTACCATCTACCATGTCTATTGTTACTATTCCCTCTGTTCTTTATGTTCCTCATCTATCTGTCAATTTATTATCAATCAGTCAACTTAATACTTCTGGTTTTGATGTTATCTTTCCCTCTCTTGTCTGTTGTGTGTAGGATCAAGTGTCCAAGAAGCAGATTGGGACCGGTCATAGAGTTGGAGATCTCTATGTCGTAGAAAGCTTGCATCTCCCTCTATCTACCTCTCTAGTTGCTTTTTCCTTATTTCAGTTAAATTCTCAGTCGAGTCAGTTTTCTTATGGCATTCTCACCTAGGTCATTTGTCTGTTAACCGCTTACGG